GACATTGGGGACGACGGGCTGTTGGGGACATTGGAGATGGGTTGGGGACATTGGGGACATTGGGGACAACGGGGAGTTGGGGACATTGGGGACACTGGGGATATGGGTACGGGTTGGGGACATTGGGGACTTTGGGGACATTGGGGACATTGGGGATGTGGGACACTGAAGACGTTGGGGCCACTGAAGTGTTGGGGACGGGTTGGGGACATTGGGGACATTGGGGACATTGGGGACAATGGGGAGTTGGGGACATTGGGGACATTTGGGACACTGGGGATGTGGGTTGGGGGCAATGGGGACAACGGGTTGGGGACTTTGGGGACATTGGGGACTTTGGGGACAATGGGGACGGGTTGGGGTCGTGATGGGGACACATTGGGGACACGTTGGGGACACGTTGGGGACGTGGTGACATCAGTGACGGGCACGAGAGATGGCAAATCCCAAAAGCCCCGCCAGGCCGGCCACCCCCAAAGCCACCCCCCCAACTATGGCGGCTCCCAGCATCCCGTCTGGGGGGACACAGGGGACGTTTGGGGGACATTTGGGGTCAGCGGGGTCAATGGGGTCAATGGGGGCATTGGGGTTAATGCGGGCATTGGGGACATTCGGGACATTGGGGTCAATGGGGGCAATGGGGTCAATGAGGACATTGGGGACATTGGGATCAATGGGGACAATGGGGTCATTGGGGGCAATGGGGACATTGGGGACAAAGGGGACAATGGGGTCAATGGGGACATTGGGGACATTGGGTACATTGGGGTTAATTGGGATATTGGGGATGTTGGGGACATTGGGGTCATTGGGGTCAATGGGGGAAATGCGGTCAATGGGGACAATGGGGACAATTGGGTTAATGGGGGCATTGGGGTTAATGGGGACATCGGGGACATTGGGATGAATGAGGACATTGGGGTCAATGGGGACAATGGGGGAAATGGGGTCAATGAGGGAAATGGGGTCAATGGGGACATCAGGGTCAATGGGGACATTGGGATGAATGAGGACATTGGGGTCAGTGGGGTCAATGGGGTCAATGGGGACATTGGGGGCAATGGGGGAAATGGGGTCAATGGAGGCATTGGGGGCATTGCGGTCAATGGGGACATTGGGGGAAATGGGGACAT